AACAAACATGTGGTTGCATTCAGCCTCCCCAAGACCCTGTCCACGTCCTCGGGAGCAACAGAGTCAAACTCCTCCCATACAACCATCTCAAGACCTGCTTCCGTCTCCTCCCCCTGGGCCAACCAGTCGGAGTCCAAGCCTTCTCGGATCCGAGCGACTTTGTCATGCAGATATTGAACAAAATCCTCGGCCCTCCCCTTAACTCGGCCCTCCCCTTAACTCTTTCCAAACACTAAAAAATGAAGCACCAGGGGGTTCTTTCTTATAATGTACATTCTGTACACCTTTGTTGCTAACTACTGTGAGAGGTCCTTGGTGGGCTCTGACCTTAATTGTTTTTTGTTTTTTTTGCAGACATTTAATTACTCAGCACTGATGATGTTACCTAGTTTGGGTAATGAAACACTTGCAGTCAAGCTCAGAGAGCACCAAGGACCCCTCATTTCAACTCTGACCTATGAATATTCTCCTTTATTGGCTAACTATTGTGCAGCACAAACATTTTTTTTCCCTAATGCATCCTCATGACATTGCTTTCCTTTTATCCACATGAATGAGATTCACTTAAATGGTCAGTACGCTCTACGCACAGTCACTCAAGCCCTCGTTGTTTCCCGCCTGGACTATTGCAATGCTCTCTACATGGGGCTCCCCTTGAGGTGCACCTGGAGGCTCCAGCTAGTTCAGAATGCGGCCGCGCGGGGGATCCTGGGGGCCTCTAGTTACTCCCATGTAACACCTCTCCTGTGCGAGCTGCACTGGCTGCCTGTGGCCTTCCGGGTGCACTTCAAGGTGTTAGTAACAACCTTTAAAGCGCTCCATGGCAATGGACCTAGGTATTTGCAAGACCGCCTCCTACCAAACACCTCCCTTCGACCAGTCTGCTCCCACAGAGGGCCTCCTTAGGGTGCTGTCGGCCAGTCAATGCCGGCTGGCGACCCCCAGGGGGAGAGCCTTCTCTGTGGCAGCTCCTGCCCTCTGGAATGACCTACCCCCCCGACCTATGTACAGTTGCGGACCTGTGCCTTTTTCGCCGAGCCCTGAAGGCCCATCTATTCCGTGCGGCCGGCCTGGCGTAGTTTGATTATGTTTTAGTGGGGGTTTTGTATGGGGTATTTTAGAGCAGGCCTGTTATTTAATTTGATTTTAGAACAGAAACTTGCGTATATTTATAGTGGTTTTTATTATCACCTGTTCACCGCCCTGAGTCCCGTAAAGGAGATAGGGCAGTATATAAATTCAATTAATAATAATAATAATAATAATAATAATAATAATAATAATAATAATAATAATAATAAGTAGCTGTTCAAGTATTAAAATGGGATATCTCTCTTCCCCCCTCTCTCTTCCCCCCTCTCTCCCTCTCTTTCTCTTTATCCCTCCCCCTCCCCTTCCCCCTTGGACTTTTCCATGCTTATCTTAGAGGAAAATTGGGGGATCGGGAATAAGCATAGAGGCAGCATACAGCACACGTGTTAGGATTAGCAAATATTATAGAATTTTGTTGACTTTTGCTTGGGTGGAAAGCACTTCATCTCAACAATGGGAAAAGCCCCTGAAATTCACTCCCTATCCCATAATTCATGTTTTTTCTAGCTTCAGAAGACTAAAGCAAGCTACTGCCCCTCAAAAAGATATTTTCTAAAATATATTCCTTGGCTGCTAAAAGATCTCTCCCTTTCCCTGTGATATCCTGGTCTGAAGATGTTCAATATTGGGTACGAGAATAGCATATTAAACAGGTCTTCAGTTCATGATTTCAAACTCATAGGAAAAAGGCAGGATATGAACACAGTAAATGCAAATATTCAGAATATGTTTCTCCTCCTCTGTTCTCTATGACAGATATGATTCACTCCCGAATATCATTGAGATTGGGGTTTCAATGCAAACTTCTGCTTTTTATTTCCCATGTCTGTGAATTAAAACAGGAACTAAGCTCAATCTACACACACCACAGTTCTCAGTCACCATTTCTAAGCACCGAGATGGGATTTCAGTGAACAGTGTCTTTTTGAAAAAGAAATGTTTTACGTTGTCACAAATATGCAAGAGAACTTTTTCTGCCACTCTCTAGGATAACTTTCCCTAGCCCAATGGTCTGAGGCTTTGTTGGATTTTAATTCCCAAATCATCCCAAGCCTCCTGACCATCCTGGCTAAAGAATAATGGGAGTTATAAATCAATTTATCAAGATTCCAGCTTGGGGAAGACTGCTGTGCATAGCCCATCTCTTTTTACCCTTTTATTTTCAGAGCATCTCTGAGATTGTAGAGCACCTACATTCCTACTGTGGTGAAATTACACTGAATCATCTCTCAAGGAATTTAGGATTAGGGAAAGGAGCTGCTATTTTTTTTGCTCTCTAGCATGGGTGAAAGAGGCCTCAGCTTTATACTAACTAGACATTATAGACCAGTTTTTCTTCTTGGAGTCAAGACCAAAGATCCCTACTTTCCCTTCTTGCATCCCACCCACCATGACCCCATCCGTCACCTTGTAGCACCAACATCAGCAGCAGCCAAACCACCAGAGAAGAGGGAATGTGTGCCATGGTCCTTTCCCTGCTCCTGTATTTCCCTTCTGAAATGACCTATGAATTGTTCTCTTTCAGGAAAAGCTGTTTTATTTCAGCTTCTGCTATCTGTGCAATAAAGTTAATTGCAAAGGTGAAAGGGTAACAACAGAACCATTTCCTCCTCCTCCTTTCTTTGTTCTTTGTTCCTAAACATTTTTTTAATAAAGAGAAAATAAGGGAAAAAAAGAAAGAAAACAAATTTTCTGGTGTAAATAAATTTAATATATAAATATATAAATGTTATTAGAAAGAGCTGCACACATCATGCATGTACAAACAGAAAGAGAAAGAGATTTTATTTATTTAAAATATTCACATCTGAATTGGTTTACTTAACATATTTAACATAGAACAGTGATGGCGAACCTTTTAGAGACCGAGTGCCCAAACCGCAACCTAAAACCCACTTATTTATCGCAAAGTGCCAGGGCTGCATCAGCATTGTGGTGCCCTCATGGGGGTGGGGGCAGGGAGGTGCCTCTGAGTGCCACCTCTGGCACACAAAAACCGGGAGCGCAAAAATGGGCCACTGTGCTGCAAGGCGCAAAAACAGCCATGTCGTGAGGTGCAGATACAAGGCGCTGCACCATGCAAGAATGGGGCAGGGCTAGTGAGTATCACGCAGGCACTAGCCCCTCCCCATTTGCAGCACGTGTGTGCTCACGGCCCCGTGCATGCATGCATGCATGTAAACTGCTTCCCCCTCCCTTTTCTTCCAGTTCACCAATCAACAATGTTTGGTGACCTCTGCTCTACCACCTCTACTAGAGCTTGCTAGTCGGCTGCTTCACCTCCTTTGTGCTGGGCAGGGCTCCTGCTCCGGGCAGCAGTGGTGACCTGATGCACCTGCTGCTGGCGGTGGTGGCGCATGTGCCAACAGAGAGGGCTCTGAGTGCCGCCTCTGGCATGCGTGCCATAGGTTCGCCACCACTGACATACAACATAGAATATCAGAGTTGGAAGGAACTTTGTTTATCTTACTTCATAATAGAATAAAAGGAACTTAAATATATGAATACATCAAGGCCATATTTCTACCAATCCTGAAAATGGGGCTTCCAATGGAGAAATTATTCTTCAGAATGAAGGGTGATGGACACTGCATAATTGATGCAGAAGGTGTGTCTTGTCAGCCCTCACACCGTCAATCATAATTTTAAAAGGATAGTGAAATGTGTCATATAGATATCCAAATAGTGTTCCACCGATAGCATAATTCTTGAACATTTGATTAATTTAATTAATGTGTATAGATGGATACTGGAATTATTAGCTTGCAGCTTTGTACAGAACATGCCAAATTCTATGTATTTCCCCACCCTTGAGTTGAAGATGAAACCAAAGAGTTCTTGTTTTTTGATTTCTTGAGATTCCCATGCTCCCACTGAAAATCTTCTGGGCCTCTTCTTCCCTGATTCATTTATAATTTCATTCATGGATCACTAAGGCAGCTGTACAAAGGGCAAACATTCAAAGCATTTAGCTTTTTCACACCCAGCAATAAAAAACATAGAAACCAGAACTATCAAATAATTTTAGATGCTGAATGTCCATTTCTCCTACTTCTTATCTTTCCCATCCTCCTGTGTGGGCAGGTCTTCTTTCCTTTAACTATCCCAGATGTTTGCAAACAAAAATACCTTGACCCCACCCCCACTCCCTTTCCACATTCTCTCTTTTAACATAAATATACATCCATCTTTCTCATTTATTCTGCCGTCATTGCCCAGGTGTTGCAAAAATCAATGCAAAGGAGAACAGATTGTTTGTTCCTTATTTCTATATTTCATTCTAGATCTGTAGAAATTTTGGGGCAAGGAAGACTGGACGGTTCACTTCATAAGAACAAACCAGCATTCTTTGCAGTATTGTAGATTTACAATACTGCAAAGATTTATTCCACTTGGTATGTGGAATACCAAGATACCTAATTTGCAACTTAAAGATCAGGTGGAAGGAATGGGGGAAAGGGAAAAGAAGGAAAACTTTGCAGTCCTGTGGGTATGTGGTTGAGTAGGTAATGCAAAGAGAGCATGCTTCACAAAACCTGGACCAAAATCTCTTGGAGAGATAATGAGGGTTGAATAGATTGATGAACTTCTAATGGGAAAAACGGGACAAGGAATGTCCTTCAGCGTAATGGACCATAGTTGGATCAGTGGCATATTAATAGAGAAATAACAGCTGCTGACTAATGGAAAACATTGATGGCTGGCAGTTCAGGATGAAATGGACACAAAGAGCAGAGAAGAGGTGCTGGAGGAAAGAAGATAATGTCAGATGCTAAGGCCAATCAGAGATGGTCTGGAAGGCAGCATTGCAGACCATCTACTCAGAAGGGCTTAAGATACTTTAGAACAGCAGGTAGCAGTTTTGGAGTGGAGTAAATACAACCCGGGGGGCTATGTAGTATGTATGGATAGTAGGGAATGGATGGACGATGATGCCATCATTCATAAGCTCCAGAAATGTGTGTGGAGGGTATCGATAGTTGAGTAGAAAATGTGGATCTGCCTAGTGTCTAGTATTCCTAGCAAGGGACAGATGCAACATTTCTGTCTCCTCCTTCCCCTGCTGAAAAATCAAAGTGACATCTCTTAAAAAACCAGAGAAATCTAAGCTATAATCTAATGTTGGGTAAAAATTTGGACAATTCATATCTAGTTCCCTTTTGACTTGGTCTGCCATTTCTCAAACTCTTGCCTTAATTTTGAAATGCCGATTCTCATGCCAAAAAGCAGTCTGTAATTAAAGGAAATAATCTTTCCTTTAGGCTGATAACAGATGATTACAATAACATATCAGGGTTAAAGTTCTGTTTCATGTGCCATCACCATGAGAGAAGGATTTAAGTTTATGAGGACTTCGAGAACCATAGACTGATTATCTGGGGTGGGGCAGAAGGTTCAAAAAGTTCAAGAGGTCAGCTGCAAATGTGTAATCAAAACCCATCCCTCTTTTTAGAGGGTTGCACATATGAAAAAGGCAAGGGTTCAGATATACATGGTCATAGCTGAAGTCTACTTCTAGCAATATTGTAAGATGGTGACAGCAGGACAAACAAGGACTGGATAATGGTTTGGCAAGGTATTTGAAAATATTGGTCTTAGCAATAATGGTGGTGATCTACCCTTTATTCTCGTGTCCTGTCAAGCAAAATATTTTGGACAAGGTGTGCATATTATAGATCAAACATGATCCCCCAATCTTAATGAGTGAAATTCTGAGAATGTGTTATAGATAACTCATGAAATTCAGAATATTTGGTCAAACATTTGATAAAAAATCAATTTACCAGAAGGCAAAAAAAAAAAAAAAAAGGCATTTATCTTCACCATCCAGAATATTTTTTAAGACTATTTCTGGGGTCTATGTGAAGTCCAGAACTCTGAAGCATAACAGGTTGCCATTCTCCTTTTAATTAGAGAAAACTAAAGAAAAATACTATAGCAAAGGACAGGGAGCTGGTCAGACACATGTTTTTCTGGGAATCACAGAGATTAAAGACAGTCAACATACGTTACCAAAATCATCTGGAGAGCTTGTGGTTGCCAATTACTGCCATTTGCAATATCTACTGATCATTTATGTCAAAATCTGAAAAGGAAACAAACAGACACAAAATAGAAATGCTTTCCTCTCCAAGAAAAGAGATAAGAAAATACAAACTGTCCCTAAAGACAAAGAAAATTAAAAAGTCTTCTGAGTCAGTTGTTCTAATTGCTGTATATTACTTTCCTCTTACAGATTAGAAGAGTCTATATTTTAGGTTCTTTTTTTATAAGATTTTATTAATGTTTTCCATACATACAATAATAATTTTTCAACCAACATGCTGTCTGAGTTTAGATACACTAATACATATTTCTCCTTCATGGATTACTGCCTTGTCATGGCGAAGGGGCTTGCATAACTCAATGAAGCTATGAGCTATGCTGTGCAGGGCCACCCAAGACGGACAGATCATAGCAGAGAGTTCTGACAAAATGTGATCCACTGGAGAAGAAAATGGCAACCCACTCCAGTATCTTTGCCATGAAAACTCCAGGGACAGTACCAAAAGGCAAAAAGATATGACACTGGAAGATGAGCCCCTCAGGTCGGAAGGTGTCCAATATGTTACTGGGGAAGAGCAGAGGGTTAGTACTAGTAGCACCAGAAAGAGTGAAGTGACTGGGCCAAAGCCGAAAGAACGCTCAGCTATGGATGCATCTGGTGGTGAAAGGAAAGTCCAATGCTGTAAAGATCTTTTCTTCATAGGAACCTGGAATGTAAAATCCATGAACCAAGGCAAACTGGATGTGGTCAAACAAGAGATGACAAGACTGAACATCAACATCTTAGGAATCAGCAAACTAAAATAGACAGGAATGGGTGAATTTAACTCAGAGGACCATCAGGTATACTACTGCGGGCAAGAATTCCTCAGAAGAAATAGAGTAGCCTTCATAGTCAATAAAAGAGTAGGAAAAGCACTACTGGGATATAATCCCCAAAATGGCAGAATGATTTCAGTGTGAATCCAAGGCAAACCATTCAATATCACAATAGTCCAAGTCTATGCCCCAACCACTGGTGCTGAAGAATGAAATTGATTGGTTCTATGAAGCCCTACAGCACCGTATAGAATCAACACCAAAAATGATGTCCTTATCATTATGGGGGATTGGAATGCTAAAGTAGGAAGCCAAAAGATAACTGGAATAAAAGGCAAGTTTGGCCTTGGAGTACAAAATGAAGCAGGGCACAGGCTGATAGAATTTTGTCAAGAGAATATGATGGTCATAGCAAACACTCTTTTCCAACAACCCAAAACAGGATTGGAAAAGGTCAGTTTACATTCCAATTCCAAAGAAAGGCAATGCCAAAGAATGTTCAAACTATCACACCATTGCACTCATTTCACATGCAAGTAAAGTTATGTTTAAAATTCTACAAGCTAGACTCCAGCAGTATGTGGATCGAGAACTTCCAGA